TGTCTGGCTCCTGTGTCTTATCATGCTATGGTCATCACACTGGGCCAAAGTGAACACAAGGGCGTATCTGTGTTCCCCTGGTCACTTAGAGAATGGCACAGCCTCCATTAGGGCTCTGTGGACTTTTGAGATGATCCACGCCATATTGGGGGTGGCTCTCACCCTTTACTGGAGACCCAAAGTCTGCTGCTGGAGCCTAAAGCCCCACCTGCTGATACAGTCGCCCAGCAGGTGGCCTCTTTGACCCAATAACACACTGTGGGGGCTTGAGGGTCCTGTGGCAGGCCTGAGGGGAGGCCACCCAGGGGACATTCTGGGTTTGGGGCTGAGGGACTCCATCTTTAGCAAGGAAACTCTCTCCTTTACAGCTGTGGCCTGAGTGTGGGTCCTGAACTCTCCTTTCTGGCTGTGGCTTGAGTGTGGGTCCTGAGCTGCTCCCCTGCTGTGGATGTGACCAGAATCGCTGACCCAGGTGGAGGTGGAGCTTCCAGGAGGGTTCTGACAGCCCCAGGGGCACAGGTGGTCTGCATGGGCAACATGGCCACCCTGCCCTCCACCTATGGGCCATGAAACCTTCCTGCCACTATGGCTGCCCAGAGGACACATGGGTGATTGAGGAACCACAGCCAGGGCCTCCAGACTCCCTGTGGTATTTGAGGCCCATCACACAAGACAGGGCTTGTGAAACAGGAAGGCCGGGCAGAACCTGAAAGATTCAAGAACCCGGGTCTGAAGACATGCCAGGCATCAGGATAGCCAATCCGGGGGACATCCTACTTCAGATTCCTTAATAAATCTTTTTGTCATTTTACTGAAAAGAAAAAAAAATCCTAAAAAGCTGCTTTCCAGCCTGCAGACACACCAGCTCCCGGCCTGTGTATGCTTCTCCCCTAGTCAGGATGCACGTGAGTGAGCCTGGGGGCCCGAGCAGTGCACCTGTCACCTGGTGCTGGGTGGGGAGCCTGCGGCCTTGGGGCCACGTTTGGCCTTCTGGATCCTTGAGTGAGGCCTTTTCACTAAATCCAAACTTCAGAGAACAAATGTCTTTACTAAAAGGATCGAGGGGCTTCATACCCAAGAGAGGGAGATTTCCATCAGCACACCCCTCCACGGCCCACTGAGCTGGCAGTGAGGCCTGGCACGTGGCCCTGGGGCCACTCATGCTCTCAGACAGGCAGGTGAGGAGGGCGGACCTGACTGTCTGCCAGGACAGGGTTCCCCTGGGAAGTACAAAGAGCAGGGAGAAGCTCAAGGGGCCCTGGGCGCCTCCTCACACCGCCACACCGGCCCAGACCTCTCTGGAATGAGCGTTCTGGTCACTGAGGTTGCTGATTGCTGGCAGAGGGGACGCAGGGTGTGCAGAGAGGGGCCACCCTGGTCGTGGGACTAACTAGAGAAGTGGAGACTCTGATTCAACCCCTTTGCTGTGTCTGCTCCGTGTCTACGCTAACCTTTCCTGCCTTCTCCTTCCTCACCCATCCTGGCAGCGGCCGAGGGATTTCAGAACATCCAGAGGGTCACCACAGAAGTGGGGTGGTGGTGATGGATGCCAACCGTGGGACCTTGGGGCATGGGGCCTCCCTTCAGAAAAGGCTGATATTGCCTTTGGTCTGGTGGGAGGTTTATTTTTCTACTTTTGTTTTCTGGAATACAAGTGGGGTGTCTGCTGCCATCTTGGCTGCCCAGTGTCTGGACCCCCATGCCACTGGGTGAAGCAAGAACAGTCCAGATGCTTGTCATCTCAGACCCTGGCGAAGGAGGGGCTGGCACATGGCCTGCGCTCGGCCAGTCAGAGGCTTCCACCCGGGACTCTGCCTGGAGCATGTTACAAAGAAGTAGGGACAGTTTGGAATTTCTACTGGCAGTGGGGATAGTGTTTGGTGCCCAGAACCCAGCTACAGCCTCAGAGCTGGGTGCGCCAACCTTCTCCTTGACTCTGCAGCCCCCTCTGGCCTGTCATGGCTGTGGTGTGGGTCTTTTACTGGGATCAGGCACCCTGCAGATGGGTATTTAGGTGGTTTTCAAATTTTCTTTCTTACAGTTGACATGAGCACCCTCCTCCCTGTGCACACGTGGGAGGGTTTTGGAGGACAGCTTCCCATGCAGGCCCTCCTGCTCCCTGGACACCCTCCTTGCAGCCTTCACAAGCTAGTGCCCTCAGGCTGCCCAGCCAGCCTGGTGATGGAGTCATTGTCCTAGAGACCCACCTACCCAAAGCCTGGCCAGCCCTGTGCTTGCACCGTGGCACCGCCTAGCTCCTGATGGACACAAGCCCTCAACCCCACTTTGTAAATCGCTCCAGTAGAGGATGTCCACCTGCAGCCCGCAGCTTCTTGAGAACAGGGACACTGTCCACCTTGTTAACTGTCCCCAGAACCTGGCAAAGCTGCTATCAAAGACAGCATGGACTCAACAACACTCTTCATGAACAAACAAACGTGGGGACCACACTGTGATTTTAATGATCTCAGGCCAGTGGCAGTGGAGATGAACAGCTGGAAGGGGCCTAGGGAAGCTCACGGTGGTGGCTGGGCAGGCCCTGCTGCTTTCCAACCTGGACAGCAGTGGGCAGAGGGAGGACTAGTGACTAGTGGTGAATGCTAACAGAAACCTTCCAGTAATTTCCTTAAGCTCAGAGAGACTGGGGAAGCAGGGGGACATCTGGTGGCCAGTTGTAGGAAGTGGCTGGAGAGAGGGAGGAGGCAGGGGAACAGCCCTCAGCAGGGCTTTCTGGGGTGTGCCTGGCGGAGCTTCTGTCACCCCGGGCCATGCCGTCTAGTCTGTGCCCGTGGTGTTGGTCAGGTAGAAGGGGCGGATGACCACCTGGAAGCTGCTGAAGGATCCCGTTGAGCAGGGAAAGAGGGACGCGCTCCTGGAACTGTTGGTATCCAGGGCGCTGGGGATCGTGGCCTTTGGGCCCTCAAAATCGGAGACATCTGCCACAAAGCGCCCTGCACAGAGCACCAGGGCTTTGTTTTCATAGCCGATGGTGGGATCTGAGTAGTCAGACTTGGAGAGGCCCAGGACGGGGAGCTCGTCCTCCGAGCAGGAAAAGCCGTAGTCCCAGCAGCTCTGAGTGGTGGTGAGGTAGGCCAGGGACCAGGAGACGTGCTTGGCCTGGAAGAGGAAGCTGGGGTGGGGTGGGGTCTGGAAGGACTGGTAGGGGTAATACCTGTAGTAGGAGTAGCCCCGGGTGTACGTAACTCTAGCTCCATAAGGGTAACCCAGAGAAGCCCCCCATGCTTTCAGGGAAGTGGGTGTCACAGACGAGCTCCAGGTAGATGAGGTGTAAAGCCGGGGCTTGTATGTGTCCTCCGTGAAGTTCAGGTCTCTGTACTGGACCAGCAGCTGGACGGGCACCGTGTGGAACTCCAGTGCCTGCAGGACCTTCCTCTGGAACAGGGCCTCGTGGCCTCGGTACAGTGACAGGTTGAACTGCAGCTCAAACAGGTCCTGGGGCAGCATCATGGGGAAGCGGACTGCCTCGATCAGGCCTTCCAACTCCCCAGGGGACAGGCGCTGCTCCCAGCTCCAGGTGTCCACGGCCTTCAGCAGGGTCAGCTCGCTGGGCACAGCCAGATCGCTTCTGGAGAGCAGCACCTGGAGCAGGGCAGTGGGGACGTTGGGCCAGGCCTCGGTCTGTATCAGGGCCTGGAAGTTCCATGCCAGGAACTGGACGCAGAGCTCCTCCAGCATGGTGTCCCCGGTGGCCAGTGAGTAGTTGTAGAGGTCCAGGGGCTTCTGAAAAGAGGGGTCCTGGGGGAGGAGGCTGGCGAAGAGGCTGGCGCAGTAGCTCTGCAGCTGCTTGGCCCCGTAGGTGGAGGCCAGTTTGTGGACACACTTGACGGACGACACTGAGACCTCCATCGTCCGGGAGTAGAAGTACCTGGGGGGAGGAGGGAGAACTGACACCGCCCAGCTCCACCTCTGCCACCCCCAGGACAGCAAGGGCACCTAGCTCCACCTCTGCCACCCCCAGGACAGCAAGGGCACCCAGCTCCACCTCTCCCACCCCCAGGACAGCAAGGGCACCCAGCCCC